CTTCACATGTCAAATTCAAGGCCAGTGGGCCAAATATGGGCCTTGATGACATCATCTTATCTGACCCCAAGGATGATATTTAAAAGTGAAATAATATTACTGCTGCTCATTTTTCTTAAGAAACTGAGCATTTAACGCAGACGTCTCGTGACAGTTAGATAATTTTGAAATTAGTCGGAATTCATCAGCAACTTTTGATTTTGATGGAAAAAAAGAGCGTCGGGGAACGTCGAATAAGAGCGATCAAACTCTTGTTGAGGAAACTAACCAAGAAAATATGTCAGATATTTGACTGGAGTTAAAGTATTGACTGGAACCAGCCCTACTGGTTTGAAAAACGTTTTTAATTCTGGCCGCTTTCATAAATGAGTGTGACCCAAAATGTGTGATACGTCTGCCAGTCTGCACTTTCTGGTTTCCTTCTCGATATTCCCAAAAACTTAGTTTTTTGTTGGATTTGAGAGAAAAATGGAACAAAGCAGCTAACGGGCTAACAAACTATTAGCATGATTTGATGAACATGTTTATTTATAAAATTGGTCAGACACAGCTTAATTAACCGTTGTCTGTCATTGGTAGGAAAATGACTCAAATTAACTTGTATGTTCTTTGAAGCTCCAGATCTGCACGTGACCCCAGAGGTCGCTCTGCTCTAAAAAAAACAAACAAACAGATTTTAAGACTTCTTCTAAAATGTCGACATTTAAGTGCAACAAGCAACAAAAACAGTTTAGTCCTGCTTCGTCGGAGCTCAGTATAAAATCAAAGTGGATAAAGCGATTAAATGTCCCAGGGTGTGGCGAGATCTTTTCAGTGCACTGATCTGCCAACTTCCTTTTGTTCCTTTTCGTCTCCAAAGACACAAAAGTAAACAAAACCTCTTCCCGATTCTATAGATGATCCATCGACGCTTTAATGTGGGATTGCCACGAGAGGTAAACACGTCGGGAATGTTCCTTGTTGCACAGCGCCTGTTTTAATTGCAGTCACTGGGGGCATTCGTCCAAACAAAAAGCTACTTAAAGCCTCCGATTGTGGCTTTTTAAATATGATCATGCGACTGATGTGGTGGTGATTTTTCTCTCATAAGCTGGAAGAAATTTCACTTGGGTGCCGTAAACAAGCAGCTCCTTATTGAACCCAGAACATACAACCACAGTTTGTTGCTTTGTCTTCATCCAGCTGCTGAAATGAAGTTTTCCACATTTAATAACTGAACAGTTCATGCATGACTATGATCTTGTGGTTTTTTTTGTTGCAGTTTTTTCATCCTGAACTCGTCAGAAAAGATGGGATGGACGAGTTAACGAGGCAGATGGAGATCTCAGGAGAGAGGGGTGAGAACTTTTACGCTGATTTTGCGTTTTTTTTTTTTTCATCTTTTTTCCCTAAAAATTCACAGTCATCTAACAAATGTGTGGAAAATGTTAGATCCCACCATGTAGCCTTGGTGATGGTTTCTCTCTCTCTTTTGGGGGGTCTTGCTAGCATGATGCACGACTTCTCGTGGTCTCAGTTCCCACCCCTCCGTGCGTTGGACTCATCCTCGCGGGGTTTTCATCCAGTAGCCACAGCTAAATGTTTAAGTGTAGCTCAAGTGGCCCTCGGGACTCCATCCAACACAGCGACGGCTGGGTGAAGAGGTCGAGCGCAGCTTGATTATACGTTTGATTCGAGCTGTGAGGAACATATAATCAGCGCGTCCTCTCTTACTGAACGCCATAAACTTTATTTATGTGGCACTTCTCAGACCACCACATTTAGATTGGTTTTTAGAGAAGAGACTATGTGGAGGATCTTCATCGAAAAAAAAAAAAAAAGGCTGCACGTTTTGAAGTTTTAGCATTGATTTTATTCATGGAGTTTGATGATTAAATGGAGAGCAGAGCACGGTAGACTCTGAAGCAGACGGTAGGCCCTAAAATGGAAGGAGCAAAGTGAAGGAAGGAGCGAGACGTGAAATCCAAATGGAATGCACTTTATCTATAACAGAAGCCAGAGAGGCTGCAGCAGGACAACAACGTGCCTGCAGAGGAACGCTGCTTGCAGGAGTTATCTGAAACGGGTGAAATCCTAATGAGGTTCTCAGACACTTGAAGGCACCACGAGACGGAGTGTGATACAACGCTTTAGAGGTATTTCGAATGGTTTAAGAGCAGCCAGGGGGGGGGGGGGGTGTCCAAACAGGACAACACACACACGTCTGTTCACTGATGACACGTCCACGTCCGGTTGAACTTGTTGGACTTCCACATGCACACCCACATGAACGTGGCAGGAGTTGATTTACAGACTTAAGTGAGAAGATGTCCCATTCCACTGTCCACTAACTTCAGTTTGTGGCTGTCTCTGTCCTCGCTCGTTGTTGTTTGGTGCAGCAACCATCTGGAAACACAAGCCTCAAGATTAAAACAAAAAAAAAACCTGAAGTTCACTATTGAAATGGTTTTTTGTCTGGAGCTCCAAAAAACGTTTTAAAAAGTCCAGTTGATCCAAAATGCTGCTGCCAGAGTCTTAACTGGAGTTAGTGGGAGAGTTCATATCTCTCCAGTTTTAGCTTCTACCCATTGACTCCCTGTCAAATCCAGAATTGAATTCAAAATCAAACTTCTAACCTACAAAGCCCTCAACAACCTAGCTCCATCTTATATTACAGATCTTATTCTTCCATATTTTCCTAACAGAGCACTTTGCTCTCAGGCTACAGGCTTACTTGTGGTTCCTAGAGTTTCCAAAGGCAGAATGGGAGGAAGATCTTCCAGATATCAGGCTCCTCTCTTGTGGAACCAACTTCCAGTTTCTGTCCAAGAGGCTGACACATTGTCCAGTTTAAAGACTGGGCTCAAGACTTTCCTTTTTGATGAATCCTCCAGTTAGGGTTGGCTTGTTATGCTGCTATAGGCTTAGACTACTGGAGGACAAATTCATCTCATTTTTTTTAATATGAATAGTTATAATTGCATACATATGAATAGTTTTCATTTGATACTATTTCTATCTTAACATGTGATCCTTGACCTGCCATTGTGTATCTGTTCCTCCTTCCTGTTCCTCTCAAACCCAGCCGGTCGAAGCAGATGGCCGCTTGTCCCGAGTCTGGTTCTGCTAAAGGTTTCTTCCTCATGAGGGAGTTTTTCCTTTCCACTGTCGCCTTCATGCTTGCTCAAGATGAGAGTTCTGTGATGGAGTTAAACTCAAAGCAGTCTGCTCCTCAGATAAATAATGTTAAATTATTATATTTATATATGAATGTTTCTGTTCAGCGCCCTGAGACGACTTCTGTTGTGACATGCTGATATATAAATAAACTGAACTGAATTCACAAGGAAAGACAGAAAAATCAATAATTAATGCTTTATGATTTAGATTTTATTTTCTACACAACTGATGTTTGTCACGTTCACATAGTTTCATCTTAACTCATCTTTCAGGAGATTTAGTCTTGACTTATAAGTTGCATTTATTTTGATAGACACCAATTTTAGCTTTATTAATATCTAATTATTCCTTTGTTGTCTTTAAATCAGGTATTAGGTTCAGAAGAATGCATTTTGCCTGCAGCTTTTCATGCCAGAGTTTTAAACAAGCCTTTCAGCTACAAATACACAAAACTGATAGAATTATTTAAGTTTATATTGTAATTGATATTGATGGACGAGGCGGCCATCTTGAATTGAAGTGACTCTAAAAATTGATCAGTTGTAGCTGCATACCCAATGGTTATTTCTTGAGAGTTTCAATAAAAATTGTGCAATACTTCATGAGATATTTCGCTAACAGAAAAATAGGATTGATGCTGACATTTAATGCCAAAATGTTCCCAAAAAATATTACGCAATCAGTTAGTGCTTGGAATATGTGCTGACAATCAGTCTCAGCCACTACTGCACCAAATTATATTGCAATATTTGTAAAATTGGCCGAGATATAACTACTTTTGCGTTGCCTAAGTTTAATTGGCTGTGGCAGCCATTTTAATTTGAGTCGACTCCAAAAGTTAATCAGTTGTAGACGTGCACCCAGCAATGGTATTCTGAGAGTTTCATTAAAATCAGGCGAGCAGTTTGTGAGATATTTTGCTAACAGACAGCCAAAGTTGACTCCAGTGCATGAAAATACATTATGAACAAAATTCCATTTGACTTCATTAGCGACGGAGTTCATCATATTAGTATTTGTCAAATCTGTCTCTGAATTTCTAATAAAGTGATAAAACCTGACAGCTAAAACATAAATTGTAAGTCTTGAGCTCGTCCTGCTGCAGCTCTGAGGGGACGAGAGCTTCATTTAACGTCTGACAAACGAGTAAAGGGTGTGATGTGTTTGTCTTCTCAGCAGTCGTGACAGAATCGGTGACCTCCTCAACCAGACTGACTTCCCTCCCACCGAGTGAGTCTGTTTTTCCTCTCAGCCACCTCCTCTTTAAACTCGCAGCCGAAGAAAAGAAAGTTCAGCCGGTCGGCTCTCGAGATGGTAGCCGATGAGTAAGAGCGTTTCCCCTCTTTGTTTTGCTGTGTGTCTCCTCGTTGCCAGAGGGAACCAGCGGATCAAATCACAGGAACATGTCCAGCGGTGCTGGAGGGCTGGGCCTGGAGAAGAACGTCCTGACGCAGAGCAGCGGTGGGACCTACTTCTCCTCATGTGAGAGACACTTTCCACTCCTGGCTCCAGAACCAGGAAGCTGTGGGGTTTTTATTTTTATCCCAAACAGAAAGAAACTTTTAGTGTTTGCTCAGCACACACATTTGGAAGAACTCCCGCGCAGCGGCAGATGCTGAGGCGAGCACCACACTAAAATGTTTCTGCTGCGCAACAAACAAATGTTAACGTTCAGGTTGTGTAACTGGATGAAATGGAGCTGAATTATTAGGAAGTATGTCATTTGTACTTTTACTACACAGCATTTAATGAGAAAGTATTGGTACACAACACATCTCACTGAAAGATTGTACTTTTTTCAAAGTCTAATAGATAGATAGATAGATAGATAGATAGATAGATAGATAGATAGATAGATAGATAGATAGATAGATAGATAGATAGATAGATAGATAGATAGATAGATAGATAGATAGATAGAT